GGATTGTATGTCACTTTCATGCATTCTTTTCTATATTTTTCAAAGATAATCAGTTTTAAAAGAATTTCGTCTGACACATTATCAGAGAAATAGACGCTCTAACTCCTCCTCTTTCGATTGGTGAAACCCGCAGATCTCTAGCTGTTTGCCTTCTCGAGTTATTCAAAAAACAGTCACACGCACGGACTTTTTGAACGAACTATAAAACTTATTAGGTAATCGAAAATTTGTAGAGAATTATATAATCTCTAACGAGGATTGATTCCACAGTTGCATTTTTTTTGATAATACTGATCGTTTATGATCTGATTAACCGACATTTGCCACAAATAATACTCAAGGTCAGTTTATAGTTTTAGTAGGTAAATGCTTATATAGAAAATACAGTTTCTTATTTTACGTTTTTTATTCATGCATCAGATAAAATTTTGAAAATGTACATATGAGAACGGGAAAAAGTATCCAAACCCCAATCAATAAATATTGAAGTAAACTGACCAAATTCAAATGTTTCGATTTGATGCAAGTCTGGTTGTGACATGTCAATGAGCTCACTAATGCTATGAAGTTTGTCAAAAAAAATCGAAATGGCAGAGATACTTTAGATGAGTTTATAGCATTTCGCGAGTTTCAGCAATGTTTCTCCGGTATGTGGTAGAACATTTTTATAAAATGTTATGCGAAATTTGAAATCATTCTGTATTATATCCTAAAACGTATGAAATTGAGTTTCTGTATATTTCATATTTTCTGAAGTTCTGTTTATAACCTAAATTTTTCAATATTCATTGTGTGCTTTGCAATCTTTGTTAGCTCTTACTACCAAAATCATTCACTTCTACTAACATTATCTGTCTTGCAATAAATCTAGAAAGATCGTGTCACTCGATATATTTAAACGAACGAAGAAATTGTAAAAGTATGAAACAAATCATTTCATAGCTTCGAACAAAAGTCTTTTCTCTTTTCTCTTTTTATGCTATCATACTTTGCATCACATTTATTACTCAGTAAAGATATGACATAAGAGTTTTATTAGTCTGATGTGTACATCAAAATGAAATAAAACTTTCATGCCATATCTCTACTCAATAATAAATTTAATACAAAGTTTGACATCATAAAAAGATAAAGAGACGAAAATTTTTATTCAAGGTGTATGTCTTACCAGGAAACCTATGAATGATTCTTTCGTACATTTAAGTTCTAACAAAAGCGTCAAAGAACCGATTTTAAAATTAAATGGTCAATCTAAAACTTGAAGTTAGTGCATGTGTACTGTTTATTTATTCATTCGAAACTTGATGGACTAGAACATGAGTGATTAATGTATAACAAATGTCAAGAAGTTTTGCTAGAAGGTTACATTTGAGATATTATATCTCAACAAGGGTTTAAACGCGCACCTTTGCATACTCACTGAAGATAAATGAAGATATGCTCTACCAAAATAACAAATTGGAACTTGAATTAAAGTTCCAGAGACAATCAGAGAAATAACTGCATTATTGACTAGTGCTTATTTTTTACTATGCTGAGTGTAAGTTTTTGATCTTATTACAGCCTAAAGAATTTCAAGAAATCCAAGCGGACTGTAATATATAGTAAATACATAACGCTGTATAACTATATAATAAATAAGGAATATAATTAGATCCTTAATTCAAAGCACACATTTTACTTATATGGTCTTGTGCATAATAGACACCTATTTTATGTATTTGGTGGCACCTACTGCTTAATAGACACTCACAATAGAGTAGCATCCAGGATGCACTTCGATGCAGCACCGTAGCAGCTTCAGAACTAGCTATGATATAGGGTCAAATCTCGAAAATCGATTTTGCCGCCTGCTGTTCACCATGAGGAGGGGAAACGCTGAGATCTCTGACTACGCCATACTGAACTGCCAGGGTAGGTACGCGAGCAAAAGACTTTTTGAACAGTTGAATATTTCATTCACTATTCATACACATCTTGTTATGATACAAAGTCTATTAGAGTTCATAAGGAGTATCTAATGCTGGCACCAAAAAAGGAAACTTATCAAAACGACTGCACATAATAGTATGTCCGATGATAGACTAAGTTTTTTGTCATTATTAGCCATCAAAAGAACGATTTTATTGTTGAGTATGAAAAGATAACTGATGCTTTCTCCATTCAGTATAAGAACAGTTGAATACTGTTGAAATGCTTATTTTTGGTTAATTTTTCCTTTTTTTTTTCTTTCATTTGTTAATTTAACTTTATTTATTAAAAGAACAGATATATTGTTTTGTGTCACTCACTGGCAACTCGAGAATCGAAAAACTTGATTTATACAGAAGAAAAAATTTAAATTGAATAGGAGATAGTTGTTAAGAACGGTGGGCATTATCCGCCTACCACTGATTTCTTGGATATGCCACTAATGCATTCTTATTCCTAGCAGAACTATATATAATGTCGGTTCTTCTTGTCTCGGCATGCAAATATTACTCACTATTGGCCAACTTGTCATGGGTATTGTGTCGGTTTCTTTTTCTTTGCCCAGCGCAAACATCACAGATGATCGAAAAGCTGATCCAAAGAATATGCAGAGAAAAATGTATAGGTGCTCAAGCGTGACACCATTGTCGTCACTGAAAGTCTTCAATTTCATTTACTCTTTTGGAGAATGTATGAAGAGACATTTTCACGAGCAGTCACATTAGACGTCAGTTTTTTCTCTCTTCGTTTACTTGAATGGATTGAAATGAAATGCAATATTCCTTTGCTTTCGATAGAAGGAGAAAAAGTGTCGTGCACGCATCAATGGCATCTTTACTCATTGTTTACTATTTACAAATTTATTTTTGTTTTGTTTCTCAGCTACATAAAAGAGTATTTCGTCATTCTAAGAGATCCTTTGGATTTGTTTCTTCCAACATATACTGACGAGCGAACGTCGTCAAGTGTTCTTGCAAAATATTCACCAAATTCAAATTACTGTTGACATAGTGAGTTTCGGTTTCGTTCTTTCTTCCTAGTAGTGCTGATATTTTTTTTCCTGGCAGCATTTCGGCGCCCGTTGACAGTGAATTCAAGCATGGCAACGTATTCCAAAGAGATTGATAAGTTTGCACGATCAATAACTATTGCCGCTGCTCTTGCTCGATAGAGGGATTTTAGAGTTTTTTGAGTTCTAATATTTTCTGATGTCTTAAAAATGTTTCTACAGATTAGCATTTCAACGCCAAGTTTTTTATTTTCGCACGTTAAGACGTTTGTTTTTATATATATGTTGTGTTTTATAGTGTTTTGTTTTGTACAAAAAACTGAATAATTTTAGGAAGGCGTTAGAACGCAGTATTGATAGTGCGTTCTTTTTCTGGAAATGACAAGTTATTTTATAACAATGTTAAATAAATAATTCAATTCGTATGTTGGGTGACAACGCCTTTCAATGTAGTAGAACACTTGTTAAGATAACCCTTGTGAGGCTCAAATATGGAACTCACATGTGTTCTTTAGCTTCCTTCAACATTTCTCTAAAAAATGCGTAAAGTGTCAAGCCTGTGTGAAAGACTGTCGTCGTTTCATAAGGATAATCACTCGCGTAAGAAACAGTCTATCCTCTTCATATCTGCATTTCAAATGGATTTTTTTTTCTTGTTCGTTTTAAGATGCTAAAGTGGGCGTGAGAGACTTCTTGAGTGACGATCTTTTATTTATTCATTCATATCTAGACTCACACCTATAATTTCCGGCATTCACAAACGTATTTTATTTCATAGAAGAGAATACTGAATTAAAAGTTCTTTGGAAAGAACAATTGTGCAGACTACATGAACATTGAATTAATATTAAAATGACATCAATATCTATTCAATTTCAACTCAATGATCAACAGCCAGTTGTAGCCAACTTACCCACACAATTTACTCTAGACGATTTTAAGAGAGTGGCTGATAGTATTTATAATAATACAAGTTTTCTTTATTCGTTTGTATGTCATGGAAAAGAATTTGATTTAAATAACGAAGACGAATTCAATAAATATAAAGCATTAATCACCTCTGGAACAACAATTTTTACAATAGAACATCCGAAAGCATGTTTTTTACCAGATACACTCGTTCAGCGTGTTGATCGAAGTGAAATACGTATTAGTGATGTTCAATTAGGTGATGTTTTACTAGCTTTTACTACTTTTGGTGAGATTGTTACAACAGTTGTTGAAGACTTGTTTAAGCATGAAGTCGATGAATATATGGAAGTACAAATAGGAGAAAACCGACTGTATGTAACACGCGAACATCCATTTTTTGTTGGAAATGGTAATTTTTGTTTGCTTGAAAAATTACGTGTCTCTGATTGTGTCTATAGTTTGATTGATGATAAACTTCAATCAACAACAATCACAAGTATAAAGACTATTAAGGCGCCGGCAACATATGTCTATAATCTACAGACTGCTCAGCCACATACATACTTTGCTAATCAAATTGCTGTTCATAACAAGCTTGGTAAAACCTTTGTAGACTTAAGTAAGGATAATGGTCTTAAGCGATATGAATGGGGTTCCAGTGGGCCTAATTGGTATATTGCGCGACCTGGAATCTGTATTGAAGGCAAATGTCTTAATGAACATTGTGCAGCAAATAGACAACTAGTGATTATGAATATTGGAATAAAAGACTTTGATTTTCTCAATGAAAGTTA